AAATTGTCGTTATGAACCGTATGTTACAATTTCAAATAAACCATATTATGCGAAAATGTCAAAAGTTGACATATGATATGTCATTCTATTCAGATTGTCATTTTCTATCGCATAAAGTAGAAATATACCGAGGTTGACATTTAAAAATCAAAAGTTTTATTAATTTCCGGTGAAAGAGGAAGTGATAAAAAAAATTGAATACGTTAATTAATCCTAATTTATGTCGTATACTAACATACCAAATCTCGTTTTTTCATCTGAAAAAATAAACAAGTTATAAGAGTGAGCCAGTGTTGAGATGCACCCGGTATATATAAATGGTAAGTATAAGTGATCTTTGAAAACATTACTATTTAGTTGCAAGCAATTGCATTATTTTTCTATGAGCATTTAAGAAAAACTTCTTTTCTTTTTCGCAGTCAATTATTTCGTGCAGAATCAATATAGGTATGATCAGATACAGTTTTGTCGGCTTCAAAATGAGGATCAGCCAGTGTTTGAGATTTGAGTGCATTGATTTGTCTTTTTTTAATGGGAATTTCTACGATTCTGCTACCATTTACCATGTATTACTACATATTCAATCCTGAACAATCAAAATCACTAAAAGATTGATATTTTTCTCACTACTGTTAATAAATTAATGAGGCAAACGTACAAGCTTTTTTTTGATAATGATATCGGGATCCTATTTAGCTTCTTGCGAATTGAATTTTTGTTTCATATAATTTTAGGGCAGATCAGCCATTAACAAATAAAGGGTGTGGGTAGTAGACAAAGTGCATTTTTGAGCGGTCACTCTAAAACTGTCAATTTTGCTAGCTCTTGACCCAAAACAGTTTATTGTTGAGAAAATTAATAAAAACAAGAATTATAGAAAGAAGGGTTATTTACAAAAAAGTTGATAGCTTTTCAGTTATAAGTAAAATACCACGAACATTTTTTTTTTAAATATTTTACTTGCTGACGTGGCGCCCCTTACATTCGGCGCCCCGGGCGGTTGCCCGGGTCGCCCGGCCCTGATGAATAGAGTACAATCATTTCTAAAATACAGGCTAATGTTAAAATTACATCGGCATTGCAATGCAAATATGATTTCAGAAATGAAATTTTTATTGAATATTTCAAAAATTGACATTTTTTAATATTTTACCCAGAGAACATTATACACAGAATGTTTTTAGAATTTCATGGATGAAGTAAAAAACATTAAACATATACAGGGTGGCCCATTACAGCGCGTTCAGATGGAGCGGAGCGTCGGCGCTGTTCTTGCGCTGCTTGTTTTTTCAAGATAGCCGTCAGACGAAATCATCTGGATTGAGCATACGCGACCCATGTGAAATTGTTCATTTAAACTCATGAAACTCGCGGACGGTCCGCGAGGACACTCCGCTCTGAAAGCGCTGTTAGTCCGAGTAAGTCCAGTGTCGTCGTTGTTGACGTAAGTACAAAAGAAGTTCTATACAATATTTGTTGCATTATTTATCAAATTAAGTATCCTTAAAATAATGTGTTGTATACAGGGTGTCATAAAAATGTAATGATGTAAGTTTGTTTCTAAATGCAACCGTACTTTTTTTGGATTGAGTATAAAATTCTGCATATGGTACTTTTCTTTGAAGGACTATGCGGTGTTGCCATGCTGCAAAAACAATATATCCGTAAAGAGGTTAAAACTTAGTGTCCTTAAATAAAGTTAACAGTTAACAAAATAACTACATAAAGGAAAATTCATTATCTTATGCAGGGTATTTCTTATGACTGACGTGCCTAATTATAACAATATAAAAAATAATTTAAATGCAACAGAAATGGTTCTTTTTCTTCAAATTTTACAAAATGGCTTTTCTTTTCAATTTTAAAATATAACGCAAATTAGCTTTAGGTGGCTTTGAATTAAAATTTACTGTTGAAGAGACATCTGTTATATAATATCTCGAATATTTGGGAATGACAATAGATGATAATTTTGGCTAAGGAGGTCCAGCTTTATAACCCTATGATGACCTTTGGAAGGTTGTATTTTCTTTTTTAATATTGAGTAAAAATGATTTCTTAATAAAGTAGTTTAAAATTTGAGAATAAAATATTTTTTTGGAAAATGTCGGTCTTCCCATTTTTAATCTTTCTATGTAGCTTGTAGACGGCAAGAGGAGGCCGGATGGATAACTCAAAAGGTACAAGGATATTTTCCACGAAAACTTAAAGGGGATTAACAAGCAGAATGGGTGGGAAGAAGCAGCTCACAATAGAACGGAATGGAGAAGAATTGTAAACTCAGTTAACAGCGACAACCAAAAAGTAAAGAGGCAACAAAGCAATGAGATTTTTGAATGTCCGGAGTGCGGTAGACAGATAACATCACGTATCGGGCTTTTCAGTCACAGAAAAGCTCATAAATGAAAACGCCTTGCGTGACCATCTTCTGATGCGTGTCAAATACTCGTCAGCGAGTATTGGCTGTATGTATGTAATACTTCTAATTAGTGTTAACTTTAACAAATTTTATGTCAATTTTTGGTAAATGACGTCTAGAGATTGACATCGCCAAAATTATCATCGATTGCCATTCTCCATTCGTTTAGACACCGTTTTTTTTAGAGTTTATTGTAGAGTTTCATGAAAATTACATTGATTCAAAGAAAACGGAGGTCCACAATATTATAATAAATTGTAATTCCGTATCATTTTCTATTGTAACACCAAAAGTTCTTAATCTAAATCTCTATCTTTTAAATATACTTACCGGTGCTTCAAGAAGACCTCCAGTAAATCCAGTGAAACATAAGGCAAAAAATATATGCCAAGGCTTGTATGCATAATAGAACAGAAGAAATGCACTGAATAAGAGAACGCTTATCACCTGCATGGATCGTTTTCTACCTATCAGATGAGTTAAGATGCCTGATAAAAGACATCCCAGCGGTACAAATAAATAGTTCAAGGATCCTGAAAGAAACAAAAAATTATTAATTCTTCTAGTATATTGTAGGAGAAAAGGAAGAAAAGCATAATATACTATCCTGCAATTTATAAAATGTGTCATCTTGAGATATAAAAATCGAGAATACCTATAAGACAGAAAATGCCACCAAACATCTGATATACATAATTCAGGTGAAATCGAAATGAGTTACTTTTCGACTCAACATGGTTTTTTTCTTTTAGAGTGCGGTCAGAATAATCTCTCTGAGATCTCAGATCTCTGCGTGTTCCGCAAAATGAATTATTTTGTCTAAGAGATATTTCCGATTGCCGCGTTTAAATTTATCCCCTGCGCATGTGACTTTGGTATATTATTATGTTCTTGTTGACTTTATGTACTTATTTTGTGATAAATTTGACTGTAAGAAATTTATATAAACTTTTTTGTTAATATAGTTTCATTTCAATGTCATTATTAAATTAAAAGAATAAAGCTGTTTGTGTCCCTGTACTGTACACACCGACGAAAATTGCAATTTTCAACTCTATGGAGCGAAATATCGATCAGATAAAAAGCTCTAAGACTTGAATCTTGAATAAGAAAATGCAAATTTTGAGTTTATATTATATCTTGAACAAGGTAACATTATGCTCAATATTGAAGGAATTGGACCGTTGTCTCTGTTCATACTATTTTCACATTTATTAATTCTGATGCTTTCATATGCATATAATTGCCTGTAATTATTTGAGATTTGTTTAATTAATTTTAAATTATTAAGATCTATACAATGTTCTTCATCAACAATATGTTCAGCAACGCAAGATTTATCCGGTCTGCCATATCTTATCTGAGCTAAATGTTCTAGTTAATATTGATCTTCTAGTTTAACATATTTCTGATTACAATCTTTACAAGAAATTTCATAAAGGTCGGGTACTTTTCAGTGGATGTGTAAAGATGTTTTACGTTTGGATACTACGCAGTGGTATTTTACAAAAAATAACTTTTTCGTTTTTTATAGGTATTTCTTTTTCAGTGGCAAAATACCAAGGATTTTTTCAAGAAATGGATCCGCTACAATATAATTGTATAGATATACAGGGTGTCTCAGGAAGTGTGAGCGTGCATTAGAAGTTTCTAGAGAACCACAATATCTAGATCGGAAATTTTTTGCACATCATTGTTTTACAACGAGATCTATCGATTAAAATATTTTCAATATGGCGGAAATTCCGGAAATACCGGAAGTTGACAGCAACTTTCTTATTTTAAATGGGTACCCCCATTTTTTTTATTACATACTTAAATTCTCTGTAAAATTCTAAGAATATTAATATTAAACACTCTCTATCATTAACCGTTTTTGAGAAAAAAAATATTTAAAATTTTTGGACAAAAAAAACTCCCTGTCAAAAAAATTTGTATAGCCTAAAAGTCCAATTTAGGGATTACTACTTAATAAACTTAAAAACGATTTATTTTAGGTATAGGAACATGTATAGACAAAAAGTAACGAATTGAAGAGTCTTATCACTAGTGAAATAAACAAAGTGGGTTTCCATTTGAAAAAAATTATTTATGATAATTTTTTAATCGCTCAATTCCATGACAGCTGCGGTCATTATTATATGACATTCGAACAATTTTATTTTTGAAATAGATAGCCACACGTCTTCTTTTTATGGCACAGTGGCTGTAGTAATCACTAAATTTGACGTTTAGACTATACACATACACATATTTTTGACAGGCAGTTTTTTCCGTTTTTTTTTTCTCAAAAACGGTTAATGTTAGATATAGAGTGTTCGATATCAATATTCATAAAATTTTACAGATAATTTATATATGTAATAAAAAATGGGGGCACCCATTTAAAATAAGAAAGTTGCTGTCAACTTCCGGTATTTCCGGAAGTGCCACCATATTGAAAATATTTGTAATCGATAGATCTCGTTGTGAAACAATAATGTGCAAAAAATCCGATCTAGATATTGTACTTCTCTTGAAACTTCAAATGGACGCTCAGCCTGGGACACCCTGTAGGTATAGAGATTCTTAGTAATCTAAAGTGAGTTTAGTCAATTTATTTTCAAATTTTATAAAATACTATTTACAATTTTATGTTGTTTGGTTCATTTTAGAACATTCTATATTATTTTATGTCTCATAGTTCATCTTTTATCTGTGCATTTCAAATAAAATATACAATGCTGTTTAATATTTTAAACAAATTTCAGTTTTCACATTGCTTAAAAGTAACCTAAATATAAAATATTAAGATCAGTTTTATTGATCATATAGATTATAAAAAGATATTGAATAGTTATTGATTAGTCTATAGTTAAAAAAAAATTGTTTGAAAATATTAGTATTCACATTTCACATGAACTATCCCAATAATCCCAATTACTTGCTAAAATTTTAATAAAATATATTTACAATTACGAGGTGTTGCTATTTCTATGTCACGCAGTATGTTTAAATACTGATTTTTATTATTACTATTTATTAATATTTTTATAATAACACTTTAGATTGAAATTGTTTTTAATGGAATTTTTCGGATTTGTATATCGTTACTATTAAAATGTTATTAGTTTGATATTTCTTAGAATAATGGGAATTCCATTGTTAATTTTTAGATTCTATACATAGTAATATAATGTTAAGGTTTATAAATGAACTGTATGTTCCAAGATTTTAGATATAACGTTTTACTATAAAGTTATAATAATATAAATTAAAATAAACGCACAATCATCAATTATAAAATAAGATAAAATTGAAGTCAGAATACATCCACTTAAAATATGTCTTCTCGGATCTCCGAATGAACGAGAAAAGTAAATAATATTTTTAGTACTTTCCTTCTTATACCTATTATGAAATAATATACCGGGTATTTTTCAAGAAAAGATCATTAAACTTTTTTATTTATTTTTTTTCACAGAAAAAACAAGATTTTGTATTTTAGTTATATGACATAAATCAGGATTGATTGACGTATTCAATTATTTTAGGCCCCTTTCTGTTTCACCGGAAATGACTACAACTTTTGATTTTTAAAGGGAACGGTCTGTATTTTTTAACTTTATTTGATATAAAATGACATTCTGAATAGAACCACTAGCATATTCAAATTTTTGGTATTTTTTCTTAAAGAAAATAGTACCTTAAATTTCAATCTTTAGTGCAATGTATGTTTCAAGTATGTGGTACCAAAGTATTTGTAAAAAATGTTTTTTCCAAATATATTGTTTGACCAGCGGATCTGAAGCTACGGAAGGAATGCGAGAAAAAAAATCGATATTGCCACGTTTATCTATAAAATTGCAAAATTGCCAGGCATGAACTATAAATCAGCATATATTCTGACGTATATTACTAAGGAATTTGAACGTAGTTAATATTGTTCGATATGTTTTATTTAATAACTTATTTCTTTCATTCTGTATAATCTGCTTATTATGAAAGGTGAAGATTTTTCAAGGATATCATCGGCAAGCCGGCATCGCCGCGCATGGCCGCCTATTCATCGAACAGGATTGGCGAGAGTACGTCACAGGATTTGTTACCATGCGGTTGCCATAGCTTTTACACCTTTCCTATTCGCTAGCTTTATCCCCAACTTCACGGTCTCTTCTGAAAAGAGCAGAAATATTGAATACTAATGAAATATCCAGTGGCGGTGTTATTCTTTTGACCATTATTACTTTCTTTCATTATTTTATACCGGTTATCCTAAACTGTATTCCTATATTTTTCGTATATTTAATAGTTGTGTTTTATTGTTTTGTTATCTTGTTATAATGTCGTTCGTAGTTTTTAATTATTAATCGTTATTAAAATCAAATGGATTTTTTTGGCGTAAACGTCAAAATAACAGATAAATATTAATGGAGCGGCCCATTATATTGCAGAGAGAGATATAAATATATACGCGAAATTCGAAAATATCTATTTGGATGAAACATGGGACAATGACCTAACCTTTAAAAAGTGCTGGCGGAGCGATACCATATCTGGTGTAATAGGCAATTTTGGCTCTACTGGTGAGTAAAATTATGTTTTGTTTGCGCTTCCAAAGTGAACTATTTTCAAGACTTTTTTTGCTGGAAATAGTTGTATCTAAAATGATGTATTATAGAAAAAAATATAGTTAGTACAGATATATAAATGAATATACTTCAAGACTCAGTCTTGGGCATCTGCTGTCATCTGCTAACATGGTTAGCGAAACGTGCGTCCAGTGTTTCCATCGAGTTGATGACTCGCCAAATTCTGGGCTTGGACAAGACGGTGCCTTTCCCTTGCGCCTCGGTAGAAAGATGTGATAGCCGTCCCTTTTGAGATGTTTTCACATTCCCTGCAACCAGTGCCGGCCTTTGCCAATTTTTAAGAGATATTCCACCAACCAATCCGCCGATTCTTGAGGCACACAATCTATGGATCACTTGACCAATTCAAAGTGTATCACCGCAAAGTGCAGCTGACCCATATTTTGTAGATCCTTGTGTTAGCAATTCGGTCGCCAATACTTCGTCCAGTATCGTCTCTTCTTGAGCCGTTTACTGGTCGGTGGTCAGTGCAACCTCTGGTAATCCTTTGGCAGTACCGCCATTTTCACTTATTATCCATTAGTCGCAAAGCTGGTGATACGTCCCTGCTTGCTTCTCGCTTGCTCAGGCTTTCCATCCTGGCTTTTTTCTCTCCTTGCCGGAGTAGAGATGAGAGTTTCTCGCTCCCTCTGGGTCAACAAGGCCGGGTAGCTTGTGACACTTATATTCTATAGGTAGGCTCACGACCCTTGCTGGATGAGGTGGTAGCTTATGTGCCACTGGTGGAGGATGATCTCGCGCAAGTGCCAGCCGCCTCTCCTGAACTTCCCTTTGAGTTTGGTCACTTGGAACTTTCATTGTTAAAAATGTCCCCAGTGTCGCAAGGGGGCCCAGAATAGCGAGAGGCTTTCATTGTTAATGTTCCCACAGCTTCACCGGTCGGTGGTGTTTTTAATACTAGATCTCATAGTGTTCCCACGAGTCGCTAGGGATAATCGATCCATTCCTACGGAGCCCCGCCCCGCATGTAGAAATAAGGGGTAAATACAATGGGGTGCTCGCTGGTGCTCCAATGTTGAGACCAGTACAGACAGTACTTCTATCTAGCCACGCATCCCTTTGACCTGGTCTTGCTATCGTAGGATTTAGATTTTTGGTGAGGTTATCTCCTCTTGATATGGGCGGTTAAGCCAATACCCCCCACACCCTCTACCCATGAGACATGACCACAACCTACTGTCTGGTATGGCGGACAGGATAGCCCCGTCTGGCACCGTTATATGTCTTAGTGAAATTCAGGGACAAGACAGTGAGCTAGCTTCTTAGACCGAGCTATAGTTCTAGAGGAGATTTCCCCTAGCACCCGACTAGGAGCTTTCCCACCAGCGACAAGGTCTTGCATCTCCTATAGGGGAATCGCGTTAAGGTTGCTTGCCTGTGCTCTCTACCCGTGCGGTTTTAACTGTACGGTTAAAATCGAGAAACATGACCGAAGTGTATGGGGGCCTTTAGACAGATGTTGCCTCCACTTTGACGATAACGGTATGATATACTATAGAACGCGCATTACTTGAACGCACGTACATATTTCAAAGAATGTTTTGTGTCTGTGGTCGCCTTTAGTTTATAAAAAGATATAAATAGTTTTCTGACTAAATATAAGTATTTCAGACAATATTCATTTCTATACTAGAATTACCACTATCGCTGTTTAATTAAACCTTTATTAACTAATTTTTTTTTTTAAATTTAAATATCTTTTTCCTATAATTTATTTATATACATGCCACTTAAACAAAATTAGAGACTCATTAATTATTTATTAGCAGATCATATAAAGAAGTAGGTACAGTTAAAAAAAAATAACTGATTGTGGCTTCTGTAATTATTTTAGAGAATAAAAAAAAAAAATATAAACTTAAATTTACCATAGATAATAACTTCCGTTAATAAATCAAGTAAGTAAATAAAATAAACTGATTATATCTCACCTATCCAAGATATTTCTTCCTCGGTAATAAAAATACTCTCTGATGTATCGTTCCTTTGTGACAGACGCGGTATGAGAATTGTCGGCATGCCCAAACTCATTCCATATACTAACAGAAGAATGTTTTTAACCATAACAGCCACTATTTGGGGAAAACTTCTTCTTAGACTTGAAATTTCGTTTTTCTTAATATTCTCTGAACAAACCATTTTTTCTGATATGCAAATTTCACTTAGTTACGTGTATTTTAAATTTCTAAGAAATTTTCTAAAATTAATTAACTCGTTTTATTTATCTATCGATATAGGTAACTTAACACTTCCTACCGAAGAGAAAATTTTATTAAACTTGTATTTGCAATACATAAAAAATGCACACAATAACTGATGTAGCGTCGGTATTGGTAAAACCTGGGTACTGTTAATAAGTACAACTGAGATAACGTGTATACATTTGTTTTGTTATCCTTCCCTCTCTTACTAGCATATTTTGCCTTGGTTCTACTTACTCATTCACTGGACATGATTAAATGGTCGGTCAACCTATTGAAGCAAACCTGTTTACTCGTCATTTACCAGTTTCTGTGATTATGTTGTGGACAAACTTTAGGCATACGGTATGCAATAATTTCCTTCTTCTTTGAATTGTTTTAACAATAATTTACTAATCTTCTGATTTAAATAATAATTTCTACTAATCTTCTGATCTTTTTAAGAAAATACAGGAAAGGCAGTTTTTTAAATATTTTAGTGATAACACACGTCCCTGAAGAATCTGTCGATACTTTTTAACATTAAAATATGTAGAACTTATTCGAATCACTAAAAGTATACTTGGAAGAAAATTTCAATAAATAAATAAAATATTTATCCCTCTGTATCTACGCCACAAAGTAGAATAGGACATAATGTTGATATAAAATAATAAAAAAAAATTTTACGTGAGGAATCTTTCCATGAGAGATGGCACGTTTCTTGAAACACCCTGAGTAATTATTATCTATCAAACTTAATTAAAATTTTATAAAGTATAAAGAAAGTGTTTGATGGATAATTTATAGAAATATGTACACTTTTATTTAAAATAAATAAAACTATACAGGGATTCGGTGTACAGGGATTCGGGGTGTACAGAAATAAGGTGGAAGCATTTTACACATAAGTTGCGCCCAATGAGGCTTTTCTATGAAGAAAAAGATAAAAATTTACATTTTTCTTGACATTTTCTGGAAAAGTTGAAAAACTGAGTGCCACTGTTCATTCTCGAGAAATTCGTTTACGGTGCATATAGGTATATCCCAGGAAATGCAATGTTGCCACCTCCTACATTACCCACATTCTGTATGTTTATAAATTCACAGTAATTTTAAGTTTCTTACACAAAAAAATACGAAAATTAATTTATTCATAGTATAGATTACTATAAATATAACAAAAAGTATTTAAACATTGGTATGGTTTTCTAGAATTAGTATATAACAATCTCCACTAATATAAATTAAATTAATTTTTGTATTTTTTTTGAAAAAAAAAAAAAAAAAAAAAAAATAAAGTGGTGGGGGAAGTTAGAAATTTATTTCTTTTTAAATAAGGAAAGCTCTAGAGTGGCTGAACAGAATTAAACAAACTAGGACCTTTAAAAGAACTTCTTTTTCCTAATAAACTACAGCTTAAACTTCTTCTTAAAAACTTTAGCCGTGGCAGCTAGAGGGCGCTGTTTAACATCATAACAGATATTACGCTTTTGCATAAACATTTAAATAGAATGACTCTCTTTTATACAGGGTAACCCAGAAATAAGTGCAAGTATTTTGTTGGGTGGTAGATCTCGATAAAAGAAACATATTTTCTCTTTATCGTTTTTCAAATAAGTCCAAAATAACGGAGTTATTTTATTTTGAAATTTTCCAAAAATGATTTTTTGCTAAAATTTTGAGAACCACTGGATCTTTTCTGATTTTTCTTTCTGTAAATTATAAAATAATACCTATACATATTATCAAGAAATTATGTTTTTTAACTAAAACTAAAAATATAAAAAAAAAAAAAAAAAAATTTGAATTTTCTTAATTTTTCGCGAAAAAACCTCATAGACGTGTTTCTGAGGTTGAACTATACTACCAGTTAAAATATTTGAACTTATTTCTGGGACACCTTGTATAGTTAAATAAAGTACGACATTCCCTAAAGGTTAATGCCAAACAGCAACATTCTATCTTCTCTCTAAGAGAAGAAATAGTTACTTCTGAGATACAGCAGGCGTCCATTCTTAGTTGGCCACCCGGTACTGTCAATTTAGTGGCAACATTGTAGTCTCTCCGAGATTGATTCAATGGAAGGCGAACGAATTTCCTGGGAGTGAACAGTGGCACTCAAAAAATAAAATTTTCAACATTCTTTTTTCGCAAAAAAACTCATGGGCGTGTTTCTGGGGTCGAACTATACTACTCCTTAAATATCTGCACTTATAGAAATAACTTATAGAAAGACTTTAGAAATGATCGAAAAGCTCGCACCATTTTGTTTATTTATTAATTTTTTCTCAAACTGTAATCATGTCATCATTTTTACACAAAATCACCTATATTATTTAGTTTAAGTTCTTTAGTTATTAAGTTAAGGAGATTTGATATCTTTGTAAATATTTTGTACTAATATTTCTATTATATCTTCTGTAAGAGACTTAAATTATAGTGTACCATCTTAATTTTCACATCCTTTACATATATAAACACACAAAAAAATAAGCTAATAAATAAACAAACTAATGCAACAGAGAAATCGAGATAACGCTAGAAGCGATTTAGCACGTACGATATTGACTAGTGGAAATCAACATTATTTGAGGCCAATACCACCCAATAGCGTCAAAAGTTGAAGGGAACTACCACAAGCTACAATACCATCTCTCGCTATTTAAAAAATAAAAACCTTCAGTGCAGTCTTCGACGCGCGAAAGCGAACAATTCCATTCATGGAACATTATATCAAATTATTTCTATTAGGTTAAGCGACATCGGATGGCTTACATTTTAAACAATAATGTGGTGATTATATTATATAGTGTTACAAGAAATAGTTTGTGTGCAGGTGTAGGGATTCTTACTTTTGGAGAAAGCCGATAATTACAACTTAATTATGACAAACGAAAGGTAAGCTACTAATTTGATGAACCAATCTATTTGTTAAAATAATGACAATATTTTCATACTAATGAATTTTATTGTTATTAAGTAATACTGTTGAATTTTATTATTTTATCAATAAAAAAAAAATTGAATTTTATTTCAATCACTGCCTTCAAGTCTTTGCTAACATAAAATCACATACCTACAGCTACTTCATAGGTTAATCATTTAAAGACGGAGATTATAAATAAATAAAATATATTTAGCAGTTTATTTTTTAGTAGCACCAATATTTCTCTCTTAATTCAATTGTTGTTCATAACGAAGTGTGTGGTATCAAATTATTCGTAAAAAAACGCTTTTTCCAAATATGCTAATAAGCCACTCTCGTTCCATTTGAAAAAAATGAGATATGATTAAATAGACGATTTGAGCATTTTCTATATAACTGGCCAGGACAAGTCACTAAAAACATTAGACGATCCAATCTATTTTTGCAACGTTCCTTGATTAAAAATTAATGCTTTTAAGTAGCCATGGCACTCTAGATTGAAATTTAAAATACAATTTTTTATTAAGTGAGAATGTCAAAAGTTGACATTCCCGCTTAAAAAATTGCATTTTACTGTACACTCTCTATTCAGAATGTCATTTTCTATCGAATAAATTAAAAAATAATCAAAAAAAAAAAAATTTAAAATCAAAATTGTAGTCATTTCCGGTGAAACAGGAAGTGACAGAAAACAATTGAATACCGTCAATCAATCCTAATTTAAGTCATATAATACCACAAATCTCGATTTTTACATCTGAAAAATAAAAGTTATAGAGGTGAGCCACTTTTGAGACGCACCCGGTATAGTATCGAAAATTTCTTGATATTTTTTTTTACAAAATGAAATGTAAAGATAATAACAAAGAATAAATTGTAACACAATCATAGAGGGTAAGAATATAGGTATCCGCGCTTGCAAGGGCGCTCCCTATAAGTTATAATGGATAGCAATGATGTATCGCATAACTTAATAGTTCTGAGAGCTGTGGCCAATTAATAGATTGATTGAAAAAAGTTCGATAAACTCGATTATATTAATTCATAATTAAATTTTAATATGATTGGTAAACATATACAAGGTGCTACAAATTGGAGGTACGAATATTGGTATCTCGGTAACTCTAATAGATACGAAGATGGTTAAATTAGGGCAAAGCTGCGCCTTGAGATGTTCACCAAAATGCCATCAAAAGTTTTAAAAATTTCAAGGATTTCGAGTTTTTTGGAAAAATGGATTTTTTGAAACTCACTTTATTTTTTTCCTGTCGTTAGTTTTTAGAAAATCAAAAACTAATTGCAATATTCTCATAGCCAATAGGGCTATCTAGTAGTATTTTAGATTTTCAAATTAGCTGATAATTTGTGAGATACAGAGGCCGACTTCTATTCAGAGTGTCTTTTTCTATCGAGTAAAGTAACAAAATACCGAGGGTGCCATTTAAATATCAAAATTTGTAGTAATTTCCCGTGAAACAGGAAATGATCGAAAACAATTGAATACGTCAATCAATCCTAATTTATGTCATATACTAACATACCAAATCTCGATTTTTTGAAGTGTGAGTCACTTTTGAGACGCACCCGGTATAGGTATATACATATTTAGAAAAAAATGCCTACTATAGCACACGCATCACGTTTGTGCGATAATAATAATTGTCTCAGAAATGTCATAATCATAATGCAACATGTTTGAAACTTTTGTCATTACTGCTTTTGAACTTTATGTTGGTTTAATCTTGACTACACTTATTAAATTAAATCTAATTTATAAGAATTATTGAGTTCTTAAGTTGAATAAATAACGAAATTTTGTATGTGGCTTTGAGGTCAGATTTTGGGGTTCTAAACTGATTAAAAGTTGATTCATCCGAATACGTCCAATTTCAGTTCTGGCTTCGAAAATTGATACAAATTTGGCTTGTATTTGATGCAATAAAACGGTATCATTTTGTAAAGACTTTTTCGTGACCAAAACTGTCACTGATATTTTTCCTTATATTTTCTGATATATTGCTAATAGGTGCTTTTAAACATCTTTTCATCATTTTTTATGGGAATATATAAATTTGCTGAATAATCATAAAAAATGAAATACTATGGATTTTGGAAAGGATTTGTATATAATACTTTCT